ATATATTAGATAAATTTTATTTACTAATTATTTTTTAATTTCATTTACGAAAAAAAAATTAAGTAAAATTTTCTAGAATAGTAGTAAAATAAAAAATAGATAATATTATTCTATGGAGAGAAATTATATAGCTTTCTCTTTTTTGATTATTTTTATATTTATAATTAATAATTATAAAATATTCTTAAATTAATATATTTATAAATATTTTTATATATTTTTATATATTTAAATATATTTAAATTTATTTATATCATTAGTTTTATTATATTTATTTTATTATTTTTGTAATATTTATATATAATATGAATTAATATTTATTATTATTGTAATAAATATTTTTAAATTTAATATTTATATGTATATTATTAATTAAATAAAAAAATTTTTGTTAATTATATTATATATCTTTGCATTATTAAATATAACAAACAAAAAACAAAAATGATATCTAAATAATTTTAATTTTTTGAAATGTAAAGTAAAAATTAAATTAGAAAATATTTGTTCAGTGAAAAAAATTAATAATGGAAATAATTATCATTAAAATTAAAAAAATTAAGATAACAATAAGCTATAAAAGAAAAACATATAGATAAAAATAATTTTTAATAAATATTAAAAGAAAAAGAAAAAATGTATAACAAATATAAATCATATTAAGATTAAAAATTAAATGATATACCCCAAAATCTTATAATAAAAAACTTAGTTTATCCGAAAACTAATTCTAATATATTATTATTAGGAGTAGAAAAAAGAAATTTATTACATGCTTCATTTGTAAATGGTAAAAAAATAAAATAATTAAATATAAATATAAATATAAAAATAAATAAATAAATAAATAAATAAATAAATAAATAAATAAATAAATAAATAAATAAATTATATTTTTATGTAATAGATTGTATAAAATTTTTAAAACCTTAATCTATTACAACATAAATACCTTGCGATATGCCTTATTTTATACGAACCAAAATTGATTTTTAAATAGCATGGTAAAAATTTGTTAAAGGAAAATTTGAATATAAGTTTTATTTAAATCCTAATCCAACTACTATTTATGATATATTACTAAACCAAGACAAAATATAAGAATTAGTAACCGGAAGTTTTTTGAATAGTTAAGATAGATTTGAATTAGGAAGTTTATTTATATATACAAACAATAAAGTTTTTAATCAATTTGAAGTTGATGTTTTCTTAACACCTTTACTTTATTTATATAATAATCCTCATATTTAATGTAATTTAATTTTTAATGATTTCCCTTAACTTAAATATAGAGAGTTTGTTAATAAAAATATTGATTTGAAAGAACTTAAAGAAATTTATTCTTAACTTAAACTTTTTTAAGAATAATAATAATAAATTTTAAAAGATTAAAGTCACAAATAGTATTAAAAATTAAGACAAAATATAAGATTTGATCCGTTTTTGCTCAAGGCTGAACTATTTATTTAACCAAAAATATAATATATTTCTGAATGTATAAGAAATTCTTGCTATACCTCTTAAAATATAATTTCTTTAGTGGATAGGCATTATTGTGATTAAATAGAAGAATATTGGTAAAATAAAATGGGCAAAAATCCTTAAAATTTATAAAATTTTTTAGATGAAAAATTTTTTTTTATTAATTAAAAAAATGTGAAAAATCACACATAAATTTAAAGCAATTATTTTATTTTATTTTTTATTTATTTAATTTGTTTTTTTAATAAATAAAAAGATTAGCCAACTTTTCATCTTGAATAAGGCATATAAGGATTTTAAAATGTTTAAGTTAAAGATTCTTATTTAGAATATTTAGAAAAGCATGTTTTATTAGATTTAATGTTAGATCATGAACTAAAGGAATATTTTGTAGCTCATAAAATTTTTCCATATCTTGGGGATACATATTTAGGATAAAAAACTATGATTTAATAAATTTTTATTATTTTAGATCATTTTTATTATACCCATTCTAAGAATTCTAAAGATTTAGAACCCTAATCTTTATAAGAAAGAATGATGCATGGAATTCCAAATGAATTTTAAAAATAGGAATAATAAAATAATTAAAAATAAAAATGATATATAAATAATTAATTATAATTTTTTACATATTTTTTGTTATTTTAAACATGAAAATTTAAATTTTTTTGCAAAAAATAATTAATAGCATTTATATAATTTTAAATTTATAAATTTTATTTATTATTTATATCTATATAGATTTCAAATAATTTATTAAATATAATCTAATAATATAAAAAATAAACTATATTTCTTTTAATAAACTAAATAACCTAAAATAAAAAATACATATTTTCATAATAAACAATTATTTATTTTAATAATAAAAACTGATTATTTATTTAATTAAAAAATTTATTCTAAAAATCGTTACATAATATATTTTTATTTTGTTTGTTTGTTTTGTTTTTCCATAAAATTAATTTTAAATATAATTTTATAAGCTATTTCAAACTTATATACAAATATTGAATATTTATTTAATTAAGAAAAAATACAATCTTACTAAATTTAAGTTAAATTTTAAATTTATTATATTATTGGCCTTAAGTAGAAATAAATGAATTATTTGTAATTTTTTTATGTAACAAATTAAAATATATCCAATTAAAAAAGGGTCGTCTACGAAGTAACATTAATATAAAATTCATGTTAAAAATCTTTAATTTTATACTCTTCTTAATTAATTTTAATTCTATGAAAATGCTTTCTCAAACAAATTATTAAAATAAGCCTTGTAAGAGTCTTTTATTTTATAATTTTTTTTGAAAATCAATATTTTTTTATCTATAATAGAGCACAGAGCACAGATTATAATAAATTAAAATATAAATTTAGTCTTTTTACTTATAAAAATTTTATATTACAAATTGTTTTAAAAATATTATAATTTGCTTTACAAATTAAATTTATATTTTTATTAACTAAATTAGTTTCTGACAAAATTCGGAGCAGTAAGTTCTAATTAATTTATATCATTATATATAAATATGTCATATTTTATATTAAAAGTAGAAATAATTTATAAATTAAGTACTTAGAATTAAAAATAAAATTGAAGTAAAAATTAAATAAATTTTTTTCATATTCTTTTTATAGATATTATATTTTAAAATCTTTATTCTTTTTATAGATATTATATTTTAAAATCTTAATTACTTTGATTAGAATTGAAAATAAATATGACCTGTTAAGTCAAGGATATTGAAAAAAAAATTAATATTTCTAAATTAAAAAAAAACTGAATTTAAAATTTCAAAAATGTAAAATTTATAATAAGAATAAAAAGATGAAATAAAATGTTATGCTGCTTTAAAATTAGTAATATTTTCCTAATTTTTTATTTAAACTTGAGTAAATTTGTACTCTAAAAAAAACAAAAAAATTATAAAAACTAATATTTTAAGTGAGTCATTACTTTTGGGGTTAAATATTTTCAAATGTTACTTTTTATCTAATTTTCTTTAATCACAGTGCTTTTTTTTGTTTAATTAAAAAAAGATTCAAACAAATCAATAGTAAGAGTTAAAATATTTATAGACAAATAATCTTTTAAATTATGACTCCCGAACCTATAGTCTCAGTTATATTCATTTATTCTCATTATAGAATTTAAAAATATAATATATCTATAAAAATTAACTTAACAAATAATAACGGAAAGAAAGGATTTTTAATAATTGGTCTTAAGTACATTAGAAAAATAAAATAATATGCTTAATTTAATTTAGAACTATAAAAAAGTTTATTATCTTATTTATACCTATTTAGTTTTTAATTACTTTAATTATAAAGACATAAAATATTTTTAAAGTTGTATTTTAATTTTATTTTTTAATAAAAATTATATATAGTAAAATAATAATATAAATTTGAATTAATAAAGATTAAAAATATAATAAAATTATTATTTAAATCAAAAAACAACAATAAAATTATTTCTATATAAATATATATTAGAATATATGAAAAAATAAATATTGTATATATTATATATGAATAAAAAAGCAAATCTAGTTTTATTAATTTATATAAAAGTAATATATATCTTAGTTTTTATATTAAGATATTATATAATAATAAAAAAAGATAATGCTTATTTATAATTAAAAATAATTTAAAAATTAAAAAGAAAAATATAATTAAAAAATTTTAATAATAATATAATAAATCTTATAAATAAAAATAGAAAATGTATATATATTTAATCATTTTCAATATTCTCATTGTTTCATTTTATTGAAATCACCTTTAACGACTTCAGGTATTTCAAGTTTTACATTAATAATTCTTTCAATAAGCATATCAATAACTTTTCCCTTGTTCTATTCATAATCTTAGTTAATTTTTTTATGTCATTTTCAGTTTATTTTAATAAATTATCATGATCAGAAGTATTTCCGAATTTCTAAATAATAAGATAAAATAAAATATATTATATTTCTTACAGCTTTAACGTCTTCATTAAATTTCTATTCCATTTCCTACCTGAATTTATTGATTTCCTAATCTGCAGCAGAACGCGCTTATTTAAGTTTTTTTTCTCTTTATTATTATTAAATATTAATTAAAAATTTTTAAATTTTAGTTTTAATAAACCTTTCTTTTTAAGCATTTTAAATAATACTATTAGCTTTTTCTTCTGCCCTAAGAAGTGCTTCGACTGCCCAATTATTTCCTCCGATTTCTGCCATTATATTATATTATTATATTTTTTTTTTTTATTAATAATAATATTTTTTATTTGTATTTTATTATTATTTTTTTCTCTTTATACCTTATTTTTATTTATGCTTAAATATTTTTTGCTTTTTATTTATATAAAAAATAAAATATATATATATATGTATATATTTAAATGAGTATAATTTATATATTCATTTAAATATAGATATTAATATAATTAAGAAAAAAATATTATTTAAAAAATTAAAATGAATTAATATATAAAAATAATAAAATCCATTTTTTCATCATATATTTTCTTTAAACTAACTGTTCCATTTTAGCGTTTTTCTTAATTTTTAAACATAATCAAATTAATTTTATTTAATATCTTAATTATTAATTACTAATATATATTGAATAAATAAATTTATATAATTTAAATAAAGAATACTTAAAACATCGAACTAAGATTAAGTAATTTCTATTTCTTCACCAGCTTTAAGAATAAATTAAAAAAAACCATCTCTAGAAACGTTTCCGAAATTTCTGCTTTAGTTAGAAACCTTTTATAATTCAAAAACAATTATAATATTATATATTTATATTGTAAAATTTATTTTTGATTTTATCAAATTTATTTTACTAATTGAAATATAATTAATTAAATTTAATATTTATAATAGTGTTTTTTTATTTATAAATCTAATCAAAATAAATATATTAATAATAAACGAGGCGAAAATAAAAGACTTATAAGTTTTTAAATACATATACCTTAAATTTTATTTTCATTTAAGGAGAAACAATAATAGGTCTAAAAGATAAAGAGTGAGGACAAACAGGTACAATAATGAGAGAACTAACATCATTATGGATAATAGGGCCTCCTGCACTTAATGAATAAGCAGTAGAGCCTGTAGGAGTAGAAATAATTAATCCATCTCCTTTAACATCAGTAAGAAATATATTATTTATAAAAATTTATAAAGTAATGCAAGACCCTTTATAAATTATATTTTCTTTTTTTTAAAAAAAAACCTTGTTCAGATCTTAAAATTATGAATTCATTTATTGCATTTGTTTTATTGGAACATATTTCACCTCCTTAATATTTTTAAGATTAAATTCTTAATTTTCTTTAAACATAAATAAATTAGTTATGTTTAATTTTTTAAAAAAGCAAATCTAATTATTCTTGTAGTTATTAAATTTTATATACACACATAAACCCTAAAGTTCCTCCTTAAATAGATAATATTGGAGGAGTACTTCTATTTTAAAATTTATTTACTACATACATTATTGTACCATCTCCTCCATAACTTATTACTAAATCAATTTCGTTTTCGTGTTAATTATCAACAAAAGTTTTTATTTTATATTTTTCTTCTTTTATATTTTATACATTATTTTATAATTTTTAATCTATATATAAATAGATATCTAATAGATACTTTTCTGCTTATCTTTTAATTTTATTAAAAATAAAAAATTGTTAATTTTACTTAAATATTTGATCAATTACATCTTTTAATTTTTTATATTCTGGTTTACATGCAAAAAGTATTGTATAAGATTGCTTATTTTATAATTTAATTTAATTTAGATTCTATATTTATTTGTTATGGCTTATATTTTCAACCATGATTTAGTCATTTAGTTATTATAATCTTTCCATTTTTTTTATAAGTAAATTTAATTTCTAAATCAATATAAAAATATTGTTTTATTTATAAAAAACTGATACTTCTAAATAATTTTATATTATTTTTTATTTATTTAAATAAAAAAATAAAATTAAAATAGTAATAATAATATTTTCTGTATTTTTTAATTTATTAACTAAATATTTAAAATAAAATAATGAAGAAATAAAGAAATAAAGAAATTAAATTCAATAATTATTATGATATAAAATAATAAATTTTATTTTTTTGTTTTTTATTTTTCTGAAAAATAAATTAGTTCACACTTTAACCCGAATAAATAATATATTTTATTTTTATTTTAATTAATTCTATATCGTTAAAAATAAAAAGTTTATTTTAGTTTTTGAATTTTATATGCCCTAAAGTAAACTATTTAATATATAATTAGTTTTATCACTTTATATTATGAAATAATATGAGTAAAATTAATATTTTTAATTTATTTGTAAAAATAAGAAACAAAAATTATGAATCCATAAACTTTTATTTTTATACAATATAAATTTTATGAATAAATAATTAGGTGTAATTGTAAATATTCCAAAAATTAAATCTGCATAAAAAATTATATGCAATATTAATAAGTAATAAAAAATATCTATAAACGAAAACTTTTAAATAACAATTATTTTAATGCAATTTATTAAATATTATATTATCTCATTTTATAACTAAGTATTCATATAAAATATTATTTAATTATGAAATTAATTATCAAATAAAATCTTTATTACAATTTAATATATATAATTTTAAAAAAATAACATAAATTGCTATTAAATATAAAAATATAACAAAAAAGATATTAAAAAAAATAAAATATGTTATATTAAAAAGCATCTAGATAAATACCCATTCGATTTTTAAAATACAAACATCTTAAACTATTTTCTTGGAAACAAAAAATTTAGCCACATACATAACACATTCATGATGAGCATTGTAATCATAACTATCAACATAATCAGACTCATATAAATGAAGATTCAAAAAAATAAATAAATAATTTTAATAAAGCTTAAGTTTAAAATTAATAAGATAAAACTCAATAATAATAAGAGATTTAATTATCAAAATAATAATTAGAATACTAAAGAGGATTAGAATATTTCATGAAAGGAAAATACAGGATTTCTCATGAATTTTTTTTAAGAAGTTTAGAAAATATTAAAAAATAATAATAAGTTGATAATTAGGATTATGTATTAGTCTTAAAAAAGTATTTATAAAAACATAAAAAAAATATATTTTTTATTAGATTAGTTTAAAATGAAATATTATTAAAGAGATTTAATGATGCAGAAAATAATTTAGAATAAATAATAAAAATAAATTAAAATACATAAAATAATAATAGTTTAGTTTATAAAGAATATAACAACTTATTTGTCTATTGTTTAAAATATAATTTAAATAAAGTACATTTTATTTATATTTCTATATATCATATTGAATAAAATAATATTTAGGCTATATTGTTAGGAAAAGCTCTTCTAAGTGAAAATGAAAGAAAAAAAATTCCTCCTTAATATTAAAATTTATTTACTTTTAATTTAGGAGTAAAAAATATAATTTAAAAATTATTTAATACTATTTTATTAATTAAATAAAGACTGCTTATTTGTTAAAAGGCAATTTCGTGGATTCGAAACAAAGATTAAGGGAATGCATTACATCTAATCCTAATATTTTATTAAAAGGACAAGCTTTAAATAATTTAGCTGTTGCTTCTTGGTGGCATAAAAATCCTAATTATTAAGATAGTGAAATAAAAGATGAAAATGGTCCTTATCCATCTTTAAAATAGCAATTAGAAAAAAAAATGGAGATTAATTATAGTATGGAATAAATATAAAACGATTATAATAATGTTATTAATTTGCTTAAAAAATCTATTTGGTATATTGAAAATGTAGATTAAATAAAAGAACTTTCAATTTAAACTTAATTTAAATAGTTGCTTAATTAAGACTAGATTGTTCCTTAAGATTTTTAGAAAATAGTAACTTTTAAATTTATATATATTTTATTTTAATTTAAAATAAAGCAACATAATAATCATAATATATTAAGTAAAAATAATCAGGAACTCCATTATTTAACATATATGAGTTTTTAATTTTTAATAAACCTCAATTAGTTTAAGTAAGAATGTTTAATATATTTTATTTTTTTATAATAATATAAATATTTAACAATAAATATTTTTTTATTATTGTTTTCATATTATTTATAGGTTTATTTTTTTAATTTATATTTTTATTAATTTATTAGGAGTCATAATTTTGGTTTAAGTAAAGCCTTAAATTTTATGAATCAGTTGATCCATACAACATGGCTAAATGCGTTTTGATGCTTGGAATATTTCTTAGTAAATCAAAAGAGGTAATTATAATTATTACTTTATCTAAAAATAATTATAACAGATTAGTAAAGCTGAATAAATGTTTAAATCTGTATTAGACATGATAGGAGATGTATATTAGTTAAATTTTATTATATTTAATTATTTATAATATTATTCGAATGAAGATTATAATAAAGTTTATTGTTTATAAATTTATGGAAATATGCTTCTATAAAATCAAGATAGAAAATAGGAAGGAGAAAGTAATCAATATAAATAAAAATATATTTATTTATCTAAAATAAAGAATTAATCCAATAAGCAAAAGATTTAGCTTAAATAATGCCTTTTTGGTTTAATAAATTGGATTACGTTTAAATACCTAAAATGGAGATGTGAAAAAAATAATAATATATTAATAAAAAGAATCAAATAATCTTTTTTCATTTATTTAATTAAAAAAAATAAACAATAAAACTGTTTTTTTTATAAAAAATAAATTTACTATACTATACTATACTTTTATTTTATTTTAAAATAAGAAACTTTTATAAACAAATATATAGATTTTATAGATATTATTTTTTCAAACAGGCATTAAACCATCTCCAATATCAACAGCATTCCAATCATCATCATTATTTTAATGTTATTACGATTAAACATTATATTTTTAATTTATAACCCTTCTATATTATTAAATATTTTTTTTTAGTTATATCTTTTTTATAAAAAACCTTGTATTCTATGTAACATCAATTTCAGCGTTTTCATTTACTTAGGCATATTATCCAACATTATTCTAATTTCCATAAGCTTAATGTTCTTGCTAAAAATAATAATTTAATAAATATATTTCTTTTAGATTTTTTAAATTATAATACAATAACTTTATAATCAACAGCCTAATCTTCTGCTTCTAATTTTCTTAATTCAGAAGCATATTAATCATAAGGTAATTACATTTCTTTACAAAGCTATGTAAGGAATTTCAAACCTACAAAAAAAATTGCAATAATTATATATTATTTGTCCAAATTTTTTATTTATTTATATGTAATTTTTTTAAAAAAACTCTATCCAAAAAAATATTGATAACATCATTTTTTTTTCGATTGAGTTTTAAAAAATTACAGTAAAAAAAATGAAAAAAATAGTATGAGCAAGTAATAATTATTGTATTTACATTCAATATTTTTAGGTTCTTCTTGGTATATTTCTTCATATATTTTAAGAGCTTTTTAAAGAGAAGACATTCTCCTATAGCAAGAAGCAACCATTAATCTCCATTTAATTTCCTTAGATTGAATTTAAGAAGCTCTTTCAAAAAAATGACAGGCTCTTTCATAAAGTTCTTATTTAACATAATAAATACCTAACCATCCTATAGTTTCAATATTAGTAGGAAGATATTTATAGGACTCAGAATAATAATGTAAAGCTTAATTATCATCATCTTCCTAAAAAATAATTAACAAAACATAAAAAAAAAATATTAAAAATGTAAAATAAGTTACCCTAGCAAAAATATTTCCTACACGAGCCAAAATATTAGGATCAGAAGGCACTTTAGTCAATAGAACCTAATACCATTTTAAAGCTTATTTAGTATTTCCCATTAATTCATGTATACTGCCCATTTAATAGACAACTTCAGGTGTAGAAATAATAGTTTATAATTTTTCTAAAGCCTATATGCAATTTAATTTTTATTTTGAAAAATTAAAAATAATACTTATAAAGCTTCAGCAAACATATTAAGTTTTTTGTTAACAAAAGCCAAATTGTATAAAGCTTCAATGCAATCTGCTTCAACACCAATAGCTTCTAGAAATTATTCTTTTGCTCTTAAGAATTCATTTTTTGCAAACATACAGTTGCCTCTGTTTACTAATGCTTTAGGGTTAAATCTATCAAAATTAATAGCTATATCTGCAT